ACTCTACACTGCCCCAACCTCGCGTTTGAATCATCAGTGGCAAATCCTTTAAATGAAAACGTACTTACAGACTGTGAGTCAGAACAGCCGGCATTGTAGTCAACTCTCCCAGGATCAGTAAACAGTCCTCCATAAAATGTGCTGCACACATCTGAATATTTGGGTTAAACTGTTCTGGAACAGTGTTGTAAATACAACTTAACCACTGATTTGTAGTCGTGTCCTCTTTTGGAAGACCAAACAAAGTAGTTTCGCTTTTCGGCACCCAGCGGATTCGACGAAGGAGCGGCAACCCCATGTGACGAGCCCGGGCTGGACTCCACTTCATCCACGGTGAAAGCCGATCCGACGATCCACAGCACTAAGTTGTTGTATTTCCTCAGTGACTAGCACAGATCAGCTCTAGGCATGACGAAGCGGATATGGTCCTCTTTTGGAAGACCAAACAAAATAGTTTCGCTTTCACAACGAAGCACACAGTGTCTTCACGACATGACGGCAGCGGCAACAATACCACAGCGAGAATAAAAGTTACGCCTTCTTTCTTTGCGTGAACATTTGGGCCGCGTTTTGCAAATCTTCCCACATAGTGAGGTAGATATGGGGGGGCGTGTTAGAACGAGCCGTTTTAGGTAGGCATGGTTAACTCTTAACTTTTATAAAGAATATCTCTTTGGATTTGAGACTTTAGTCTTTGCAACTTTACAGATCTTCTTTATGCACCAAGAGCTTGTAACACTCCAAAGAGAAAGGAAAAATTGAAATCGCATCATATGACCCCTTTAAATGAGCTAGTGTGTATTATCAAATTACTGTTTGGCATCTCAAGCATGGGTCAACAGTCAAATAATCCTGAAAAGAAATATGTAAACTTGAAGCAAAGGCTAATATTGAATTTCCAAGTAGTGTTTACTATAGCATGCTACTTAATACTGAAATGTGATTCCACTTTAATGGAATCAGACTGCCTATAATCTTTGCATGTAAACTGAGAAAGAATTAATCATCTGCATGATCTCATCTGTCTGTGCCTTTATAAACTATATGTCTTATATATGCGCCACACTGTAGAAAACTTAATTACCTGAACTCGCAGTACTCCAAAAGAGCTACAATTCTAAAATGGCTTCAGACTGCAGCTATGAGCATGATGAACAGAACAGATGCCATAACATTCGTCCAAATTGCTCACACTAACAGCTTGCAAAAGCAGCCAAATGCATAAAATGAAATTTCATAATTCCATCTGATAAGGCACAAACATTTTGATGCCTACCAAAGACAAATGGCACAGGTAAGAAAAGTCATTTTGATAATCCAAAACTCATTATTGTTTTAATCCAGACATATTTGAAACAATTGCATGACCACAACCACAAATATAAAGGCTTATATGAGCATTTTCATAAACTAGATGTCAAATGCAGTACACACGTTCAGTAGTTCTTCCAGTATTATGTACAGTAAATTACATCAGCTAGCTCTTAATCCTTTGCTTAATCTCACTTTTATTCAGTAAATTTAAGACTGCACTTATTAACCACTGTGAGCTCTTGAAAATTGTGTTCACAGAGAGAGGACAGCGTCAGTCCTTATGCTAATTTATGATGCTTCTCTTTCCACCCTCAGAAACCTCCAGCATTATTGATATTTGCAGATGGTGGAGGGGAAACCCACATGTGTGGGCAGAGTTTACAGGCTGAGATGTTTGCCATGAGGGGGCTTCTTTCTGTAGTCATTATGCATCATACAAGCTAATTCTTCGGGGTATCTAGTTCTCCTCTCATCCTCAGCCGCCCTCTTCTGACGTCCCTTATCTGCCTATTTTTCTTCTCTACCAACATTACCCCCCCCCCCCC